TTAGCTCCTTATTCTCTAAACCTACTTTCTCCTGATTGGCTGCAACTCACAAACAAAGTTTAAACAGTAAGTGGGGCAGATTTGGGATATCCCCCATATGTCATAAAACACAGCCGAGAGCAGAAAACACCAACTGAAACCAAGCATTCAAAGCTTGAGACTTGACCTACATGATATCCTTGTACACAAGCTGACCTCATTATTTGAAACTCTAGCTAGGTTTAACATGAGCATCTACCATTGTAGTAGAATATATATGACACAGGTTTAAAGTGCACACAGGACTAGTTGTAAACACACAGTCACAATTTCAGTGATGCCTTGATGCTTCTTACCTTCTCCTCTTCATTCAGCGGGTCTCCCAGTTCATCCAGGGAGAAGTCCAAATAGGCGACTGTGCCATCCATCGAACAAACCAACATCCCCAGACCCGTCAATGTCCTGATTCACACATACATATCAAACTCAGACATTTATCACCACCAGTAATGTTTAATAAGCCTACACAAAACACCTGTATGCAAACAGAGAAGGGTGCAGGTAAAAAAGCATCCACACGCTGAGAAATTAAAAATGATATCTGAAGTCAGATATCTGATGTCAGGGCGGTGGACTTAGAATAAGAGAGACTACAGAATGTGACAGCCCACAACGTCTTCACTCACCAGGAAATGTCCATAATGGATTTATCGAAAAGATCATGGATGACCACAAGAGGGCGCTTCAGTGAGGTGAGCTGGAGGAGAGAGCGAGAGAGACTTTATTTTTTATATCCTCCCAAACAGCTACTAAAACTGGGTTTGACGATTCCTGGTGAGAAACCACTGAACTGGAAAAACTGCCCTCACTTGGGTATTAATGTACATGTCATCACATCAATAAGCCATGAAAACTGCAGCTTGATTAAGGAATGAGAGTACTAACTTTTATGTTTTACTATCATTATTTTAAACTTTAAAACTGTGGGGTTTACTGACCCAGACAGAGAGCGATCGGTCTTTGCTGCCGACGGCGCAGCAGCAGTACGGACAGCTGGGCTTCGGAGAGCTGCCGTTCTTCTGCTTCTTCTTGAAAATCTTTGGGTTGAATTTCTGTAGGAACAGAAACCAGACGCATCAATAAGTAGCTTTTCTTTTGTTTAAATATAGATTTACTGGCTGAACATGTTGCTAGCACATCCTCACCACCACGGTGACAGCTTTACGGTGGCCCACAAAGTCCATATTAGTCTTCCAGCCATCTCTCTCCACAATCTGAGCGGTGGGGCCGGAGTTGTTCATTGCATGAGCCGACACAAGATACTGACCGTCTGGAGACCAGGACAGACGCAGGACGTGGGTCGTCCCACCGCACTGAGAGTGAGACAGAAAGAGAAAAATCCCTTAAACTGTGATGACAAAATAAAATCAAAACCTAAATCAATTAGTGGAAACACACAACGTATCCAATGGGTTCCAATCAAAGCGAGAGTGAGTGTTCCTGTACCTCACTGAAAGGTTTGGTGATGTTCGCCTCCATCTGCCAGTCCACCGTCCGCCACACTTTCAGGCTGTGGTCGTCAGCCTGGGACGCGATGTATTTCCCCACTGGATCCCATGTGAGGCCTTTCACCAGGCCAGTGTGTCCTCGCAGAGTAGTGACCATCTCTGAATAGATCATTAAGACAGTTGCAGAGTGTGCAGAAAGTGTTTTTTCCCTCTCAGTTAAAAACAAGACTTGTAAAGATGGGCATTTTCTATTTTCCGGAGGCTGAGCTGTGGTTAAACTTTACCTGGAAATTTGCGAGCGTTCCAGATCACAATGGTGTTATCCACACTGCAGGAGGCCAGCCACACGTCATGAGGAGACCACGCCACGTCCATCACATCTGCAAACACAGCACAATGATAACAAATGATGACAATGGTGTGACACTTTTCTTTTTTTGACATTAATATGTCAAAGGGGATTTAAAGAAAGAAATTTACCAAGTAATATACTGAATGTTGAAGGGGGAAAACATCTGGCTATTATCTGAAATATTTTACCACTTTATTTTTGTTTTTATTATTTATTCATCGTCTTGTTTCAGGAAATTCTTTTGTTTTTAAACATTTAACCACACAGCTGTTAGACCTCGAGCACACACACAATGAACAGAGGCTCTTTTACTAGCCAGGTTGGTGGATGTGTGCAGATGTTCAATATCTGTGAACATCTGCAACTTCTCTGTGCATTTTCTGAGTCTATTACCTCCAGTGTGGTTCCTCAGGATCGTGACACACCTCCACTGCTCCACATTGGCCAACTTGCTGCTTGACCCAAACACTGTGCTGGGACCGATGAACCTACAGGGAAAAGAAACACACAGACAGACATGATTAAAAAGCAGCAAATGTGAATGCTGACATAATTATCAACAATGGAGATTCACCAGAAAACATCAGTGAGAGGAAGTTAGCTTGAACTAGCAGGAAAAGGATAGCATGCATCCAGTCAGTTCATACACAGAGAAAGAACTGGGACATACTTTAAAGTAGCAAAGAATAATAAATATAGACTTTGTTACAAAAATACTTGTGTAATAATCATCTTTTATGGCTTTTGGCAACAAGAGCACTTCGTGTGAGTAACATATACCAGAAACTGAACGAGGTATCAACCTACTGCAAGTTCTGGTTATTCTGGTTGTCCAGCTTGGAAGCAAATTTCCAGAGAAGAGCTACCAGCTGCAGTATAGGATGTCGAAGTCTGTTCAAACCCCCCCTCTGGCAGTCTTAGTTACACTCTGGTGTTATTTTTATTCATGCAGCAAAATAAATAAATAAAAGCTAAAATTAGGTCCAAAATATATTTAGATATATTTATGTGACTGTTCTGACCTCAGTGGCCCACCCAAGTAAAGTATATGTGTAGGAAACAGTGTGTCAAGATCCAAAAGTGACCAGTGGCATGCCTCTCCTGGAGCTGTGGAATACGCCGATTATAGCTGTATACCATCCATCAGCAGCAGCACATCATCCAACAGTAGCTGACAGCTGTAGAATCTGCATATGGCCCATCTTCAGCAGTAGCATACCACTGGCAATCTTTGGATCATGGTGCTGCAGAATTATTAAGGTTACAAAAATAGTAGATTTTTGGTTTTTTTTGGCTTAATTAAACAGCCCTAGTTTATAACAGTGAGTCATATGATTGACCATTTAACAGCATGCTGGTGTTACTAGAACAAAAAAAATAAAATAGGATAAATAAATAATATTGATGCAAGTGTATTAAAGTGTAGATCGTTGTAATCTAATGCACTGTGGAAAGCCATAAAATTGCCGCCTATCACACACACAGTCTAGTGTGCGTTCACGCTGACACAAAAAGTTTCCCATTCTGCTTTCAGCTCAGTCACCATGGAAACGTCCTTGTTTGGCCGTCTTTCCAGACGTTTCTCGACAGATAGTGAATGCTGTTTATCATATTGAGCGAGTGACTGTGTGTATACGTACGCGGCTCTCTTCCACACCATGACCAGCTTGTCGTCTCCTCCGGAGGCCAGACACAGCCCGTTGTTGGACCAGCGCACACAGTTCACACAGGCTGCAGAGACACACACAAACACTTCTGCTCACTGAGGCTATAAATACAGTTTGTATGGATTTGTGCTGAGGAGGCTGTTAGGGTGGACAATAACAGCACCTGCAGATCAAGATGCTCTCATTATTAAATATGGCTGCTTGTTATTAGGTCACTGAACACAGCAGCAGTTTATGTCAGTGGCAGTTCATGGAAGGCGAAGTGATTTTAATTTCCTGCCGCTGTTATCTCCATCCATCCAAGGTCAACGTTCGCGAACGTTTTAGTCAGATGGGTTTATAGTTACAGATTTCCTTTCTTCCTTTTTTTATAGTGTAAAAGGTCCAATCATTTTTGTAAATAGTTACTTTTCCTTAGTTCTTTTTTATTCAAATCACATTCTGAATACATCTTGAACTCTTTCAGACTTATCTTATAGTATTTAACTAACATTTTTACTCACTGACCCCCTTGTTGTGTTATATTCAGCTTTATACATCGGATTTGTTTTTGCTATAATCAACCTTTGATTTCAGCATGTTTTCAGTGATTTTCTACAGCAGTTTCTGTGTTATATTATTACAATTGTGTAAATTGTGTAACTGCATCT